GGGGGGGGGGGGGGGGGAACTCCCATAGACTTTTCTTTAGTCTTCTTGTGGCTTTCTAGCTTCTCTCATTCAATTTTTTGCAAAGGCTATCACAACCTAATTATCCGAAATGGGAGGTAGTAACATCCTTTTCCTCTGAACCAGTCTATGAACTATCTAAGCAACTCCGTACTTCCCCCATTGGATCTTGAAATTGTCTTCCATCCGTTTTTCTACCTTTTAGCTCCCGTATTCTTCTTAGTGAAAGCATCTGCAAGCTTAACGATGAACCAATTGAATTTTCGGGTAGAAGGGAATACCATGTTAACACTCATTTCGTGATCATCTCTCCAGACCTTTTCACTAGTACTAGTTCGATCTCGGCGTTGTTAGGTTATTTCCATTAAACTTCTTTGGTATTCACAGTGAGGCAGAGCTCGATTTCCAAGATTGATGGGAGTATTTGTTCATATCAATTACTTTGACAAAAGGTGGAAATCTCGGGATTTAGTCGATACACTTGTTTTGGTTCTTGATCTGCTTCAATAAATTTCCTACAAGGTCATAATAGAATTTTGTAAATTTGTGTTACCGGTGGTACCAGAACCTCCTACTCCCGAATCTCCGGGCATTCCCTCCATACCAGATTCGGGGCACGAAATTTAGGATTTCAACAACTGGTTCTAATCTTGGTGGATGAACTGCTGGTGTTTCAGCATTGGCGTTGCTAGCTAAGGTCATCATCACCTCTCTGATCTGATTGTTCCATACATGTTATTGGGTTATGAAACTTCTAATTATTTCTTCTAATCGGGGTTGCACTCTTCCCCTGCTGGAAGACCTCTCGGAGGATTATGCCTTGACGGGCACGGTAAATTTCTGAGGCTCTAGTCACCCAAACTTTCTCCTGTTGGTAAAGCTTAATCCTTTTGTTGAAATGGATCAATTGACTGGTTAGTGACTCCAGATGTATTCCTCCAAATAACAATTAATATGTTAGAATCAAAAGAGAATTAAGGAAGTGGTAGAACAATGCATTTTTAATTGAACGCATAATTACATGGACCCCACGATAAGCACCAAACTGTTTAACTTAAATTATGACTAATAGACTAAATCAATTAAATTAATAAATTAGGCCTCAAATAATTAATTCAATCCAATTAAGTTGATCTTTGTTAAGAGAAGACTGATAAGTGAAGCTGATAATTGTAAATAAAAACAATATGGACAAGAACAATGTGAAAGTATTAAAAAAGAAAGAAAGAGCTTCTTATAGTTGATCCTTTTATTGATCTAGTAGCTTCTCGTGGTTAAAGAAGAGCAGTACTAATTCCATAATAATAGTAATAATGCGTGAATAAGAATAAGTACAAATGAGGAAAGAGGGGTATTTATACTCTAATGTTTACACAATTGTTCTCCTAATTTCTTGCCTAGCCATTATTGGCACTATTTGCAGTAGACGCGAATCTCGCCTGTTACGTTTTCATGAGGCGTAACTGACGGGCTCAAGTATGGTAAATCCCGCATATCTCGGATCCCTATATCGCCAAGTGAGTACCTATCCGGACATTTGTGGCCTCCCGATATGTTGATTCCTAGGATTTCCTTATCTGAAACAAGTTATACAACTCTAGAGACATCGTATGTATTCCGGGCCTTCGGCTCAAGGGACTAAGGATGCAAGACGTCTGACTGAGTAATACTTGTCACGTGCCATCCATCCTACTAGCCATGTGTCATAGTCGTATTTTACCGATACAGTTCCCTAGAATGTGCCTTAGTGAATCCTTTCTTGTGCCAACTGAGAAAACCCCAGAGGAAGTTGTCCATATTGGATAGTCATCCGCCTCATTCGACTCCACTCCCATATTCAAAATATGCTCCCTAATACCTGGTGGAACCTGAAAAATTGTTTGACCAAAAAGTGCAACTTCTGGTTAAAACGATTATATTTGAGTAAGAACAGATTAAACCTAGTTAATGATAATATCTCTAGATGTGGGTTCCGAAAATATGGCTAATGTTTAGACAGATCTAGCAGAGAATTGATAGTAACATTCAGTAAGTGTTTCAAAAGATATGAGTAATAATGGAGAAGTAACTAGCAATAAATAACAATAAATGGCATTTAAGTAAATAAGAGAAGTGGTTCACCCAATAAACAATGTACTAGGTAATTGTTCCTCCTGACAATGATGAGTGACAGACAAATCTTAAAACATTCAAAATATTCTCGGATCTGATGGAAAAGTGTGGAATAATATAAGCAAGAATCTTGATAAAAATATAGTCTTCGTATCTTTACAAGAGAGAGTGAGAGAGAGAGAGTGAGAGAGAATCTTTTAGCAAAGTCTGCTCTTATCACAATGAATATAACATGCCTCTATTCAATATCTTTTTTCTTATTTATATGGGACATACCCCCAACAAACCCTAATAGTACAAGTGTAGAGAATATCCAATGGAATATTCTCTTTAATATCCTATTCTAACAAACTAGCCGTTACAGCTCTTTCTGCGGTGCTCGACCTCGACCATCGTTTGCATCTCGACCACGAGCCTCGCTATTTCTTGGTCGACCTCGGCTGACTCTTTTCTCGATGTTACTTTATCCTAAGTATTGAGACAGATTTCGACCTATACAGTTAGTCCCTCAAAATTGGATGAGCGAGTCGAGTAGTGACGTTTCTGACAAGATAAAACTTCTTGAGAAAGGTCGGCCACTCGCGAATTCCCACGGTGCGAGGGAGAACTCGACCAACCCAATCAGAAATATCGCCGACCAAAGGAGGGGGCATAGTCTTGGCAGCATAAGAAGAGAATCCGTGTTCAAAATCTACGATCGAAACAAGGAAATCGAATATTTTAACGAAGAAAGGTTAAACGCTTGCGAGTGTAATTCCAAGTCTCGGGAAAGCCATCCGCGTTCGCCACCACGTCTTCGGTTCTAACAAAGAAGAAATTGTGCCAGATGCCGGAGTGTGACCTCGACCCCAGCCAGTTTCGCATATTTAGTAAGCATCCTAATAAGCTTGTAGATACATGGAGAAAGTTGAGCTAGGAAAATACCATAGTAACAGCAGAACTCCTCCACCATTGGGAAAAGGGGAAGAGAGTAGCCAACATAAAAAGAGAATTGACAGTAGAATTGGCAGTAGCATTCAGTAAACCCACCGTCCCGGGTTGTGCGTTCTATGCTTACCCTTTTCATGTTGGCTACTCTCTTCCCCTTCTGCATTTGGCGGAGGAGTTCTGCTGTTACTATGGCGTTTGCCTGGCTCATCTTTCTCCATAAACCTACAAACTTATTAGGATGCTTACTAAATATGCGGAACTGGCCGGGGTCGAGGTCACGCATCTTATTTAGTTTAATCATGTTTGCCTGTTTGGCCTAGATCGTTTTGGTAGATGTTTGTAGAGAGGACCTAAGGAAGTCCAATTACCATACCAGAAAGTTGTATTGCCTTTTCCCACATGCTATCAAATTTTTTGTTCCATATCATTCTTCATATCACAGATAGCCTTCCATACATGAGACTGCCCATTGTACCACCTCTTTATCACTGGATAAGATAGATTGTCTCCACAAGAATTCTTGACTTTTAAACCTCACCGTAGTCTGGAGGTAAAAGCTATTATTTGTATCTTCAAAAGTTCAAAAGATTAAATATTCACAAAAGATTCCATATAATGGTTTGCGGTAATAGAATAGCAAAATGTTATAGGAACATCTCACTGTGGTTCAAGAATACACTATGAACACAAGACTAAGAAGAATAGTTGAAAGTCGGTAACTCACTACCATGTAAGAACTTATGAACAACTGCCAATTAATTTTGAGTTTGTTGTTGATTGGTCTCCACAAATTGCTGAGGTTTTACAAGTTTCTCAACACGCTGTTGGGACATATTATTGCTAAAGCCACCAAATTCACATGACTAGTTGGATGTCTAGACTCTGGACATTGCAAAAACAGTGGAAGGGTAAACTCTACCACCTAAATCTGCTGCTTCGCTCCATATACTTTTTTAATTGTGTCATTTGGATAAACATTTGATAATTTCATTTATTAAAATCTTAGTTTAGCAGCATCTAATTGATAATCTTTTGGTGCTAGAAAAATTTAACATTGCAGCATAACTACACCAATAAAAGAGCATCTTCTATGCAGGCAGAAATCTCATGCTAACATATGTGCAAATATTTTAGAAAAAGAGACATTGAAATGGCTTATTTCCTCAAGTCTTATGTCAAATGACATACTCATAATATTAAAAATAGAGTCATAAGCATTATCGATGTAATAACATCATAGATTTTAAAAAAAACTAAAATAACCAAACAAGCAAGGCTCTCAAGATGTTGGTAATTTCATGCCATAGTTGTAGTATCATCAGATCCATTTAGCAATGGATTTAACACTGCTCCAGTGAAAAGTACCGACCTTGTAATCTCTTCTCTAATCATGAACAAGAAGGATTGATCAGCTACGAATTTTTTTGGAGGACTTTGATACAAACAACATCCCAAATCATCTTCTGACTCAAAAGTAACAACAGCTGCCTCGGTACATTTCTCATCAATTTCTACAAATGCTTTCTGTATTATCATGGACACATATAAAGAAACATTTTTATTTTCCACAACCTCTGTTAGGTCCTTGCAAGTCTTCTCGAAAGGTAGTGTCATTCCCATTTCCTGCATTGCTTTTTCCCCTTCTTCTGTGGTGAATGAGAATTTGAACTTTGGGATGCAAAATGCATCAAGGGTTTCTTTCCATAGCTCGAAATCTTGTGTAAAGAAGTTTGAATCAGAGTTCACTTTCTTCAATAAGCTTGGCAATCCGTCCCTTTCATTAGGAAGAAAGAAGTACATGGAGAAGTCTTTTTTATCATCTTTTCCTTTTTCATAAGAAATTTTCACTGCTTGATAACTTTCAAATGATCCATATAAATAATTATGACAACCAGTCATGAAAGGAACTGAAACCTTGTCTCCGTTGAGTAGGTAAAAATCTTTGTTCTGAGTGAGCCTTTCAATAAAATTATCTTTCCATGTACCTTTGAAATGTAAGCCGTTTCCAAGTAAGAGCTTTGTGTCTTCCTTGATGTGCTTGGGCTTGAGAACTTGATCAATAAGGCCTTTTGTTGCAGACTTGGCCCATGCATTAGACCTCCTCCTATATTTAAGAGGAATTAGCTTCTTCTACCACCTCCTCCTATATTTAAGAGGAATTTACGCGTAATACAACTTATTTAGTACTTAATTAAATAAGTTACAACTACTTTTAGAAAATTATATAAAATATAATTTATTTTAATCTACAACTTTTCATATTCCTAAAATCTCTCCCTTGAGATTCTCTTACCTAAAACTATCCTAATATATCTCTCTTGAGATTTACTCTCACCTAAAATGTATTTATCTACATTAATTTTCTCTCAATTTCTCCATTAAAAGATTCGAGTATATCCTAATGTCCCTAACATCTTTCCTCCTATCCTTCCTCCAGCCCACTACAAAATTCTTATACCCTTCTTCATACTCCATTATAGTATATTTTTATCACTTAATTTGGCTTCTGTGTACAATTACTAATGATATATAGTAGTATATTATATATTATATATTCTATACATGATATTATATACTTATATATGTGTATATAGTATAACATAAATTAAAGGTACACTGTAATAAAATTATTCTATGTTGGATTTTAAAAGTTTTACTTAATATTTATATATTGTATAATTACTATGATATATATGTATTGCACATTGTGTATTATGTATTTATATAAAGTATAATTGTTAAACCTAATAACTCCTCGTGTTTCTTGAAGATGATTTTCTCTAATTAAAATGATACTGATGGTGATGAATTGCAGTAGGAAAATATTCCTATGATAAGTATATCAAAGTGGTGAATGAAATTGAAAGAACAAAAGAATCCCAAAATGTAAAACTTAGTTTAATGGAGGATGCAACATATTTTTATGGAGGATGCCTCCTGGTAATGAGATAATATTGTCATGGTAACCTAAAGTATTTATAGTAATAATCTTTAATTAACGAAAAAGAGAATTTTAAGGGACTAATTATGGATAGGACTAATTATGGATATGGATAGGACTAATTATGGATACGTTTTTAAAATTAGATTCCTTTTTTATAGATACTTTGCCGTATTTTAGGGTTTATGTTTTATACATTTATTACATTTAANGTACTTTGCCGTATTTTAGGGTATATATTTTATACATTTATTACATTTAAGTGATATGCGTTCTCATTATACACAAACTTATTCACTCTAATCAGATGTAAATTTTGACAAAGGTATTAATCCTTCTGAAAACATATCAAGCAATGAAACGGAGTACCTTTTTTTTCAAAATCCACACTTTTAGCCCTTGTCTTGTAGACATTCTTGACAAGTTCTTGGTAAGACTTCTTTAGGCGAAGTTGTTGTTCCACCCAAAGTGCGCTAAGGAAGCACACATCAGGACCCCCATCACTATTGGTCGTCGCTATAGCCGCCATATCTAAGAACTTGGTATTCAGATAATCGATCTTCTCAACTGCAAGATATTCAAGCATCTGTTTTAAAGTAGGTCCCGTTGCTTCGGCCGCCGTCATATTCAGTACGACAGTGTAAGATAACGGAGACAACACTATGTTCTCAGCATTGAAGCCCTTTTGGATCTCCTTCAGCATAAGCTCACCAGTAACTTGCGCACAGAAATCCTTCTTCTGTTCTTTCTGTTTCTCCATCTATTCTTGTTTTTGTTTCTGCTCGTCTTCGTTATTGGCTACTATTATATATAGAATTGGATCCTAAAACCCTATAGGGTTGGACTATAGAAAATTTACTGTTTACAACTTGTATTCTGTGGTTACAAGAATTCCCTAGTATATATGGTAACTTTTGGCTACCCAAAATACATGATATTCTTTAACCTCCTGATATTTCTCCATTATGAATTATTTGAAGATATTATTCCCTATTATCATTCAACGTCCCTGATATTGCTCTAACTATCGTCTCTCTCTCTCTCTTTCCGTATAAGTTAGAGTTGCGTTTGGGGGAAAAATAATTTTTTCTCTTTCGAAATCTGTTAGACATCTCAAATAGTATAAGATCCATCCAAAGTAATTTTAGATTTACCATAATCAAATTTTTGCATCTACCCTGTTTAACTACCTCAGAGTCAGACAACTCTAGAATCGAACTGTATATCCATGGAGTTGCTACACTGTTGCATAGAATAGAATGATGGCGTTGCTTCGGAGGGTTTTATTGGTAGCAGTCTTCATTCTCTCTGCTTATCAAGATTTCAGTGAATTTGGGTTAACATCAAAGGCANTAATAAAATAATTCAGAGTTTATGCCTGTTTGGTATTTCAAAAAAAAAAAAGCCGCATTATTTGTAAAAAAAGATTAAGAAAAGTATTAATTAAGCTAAAATTCTCATAATCAAACATTAATCTTATCGTTGGAAAATTGACCTTGTGCCTAATTCAATCGAAAAAAACTAGCTCATGATATAAGGATTGATATCCAAGTGATCATACACACAATTACTTGAGACCCTTTCATCCCTCACATGCCAAAAAATCAAGATCCTCACCTGAGCTTGGAGTAACATGACATGGATACCAAACAGGTCCATTTTGACTTTGATACTGTGTTGAAAATGAACCTTAAACATAATCCAACTTTAAAAAGTAGTGTATACGGGTGAAACCGAGCCCGTGGGATTCCTCGGTTTTCGATGAAATAAACGGAGCAGAAATACGACTGTAAGGAACCGGAATCGGGGCAAGGAGCTCCTCGAGTCGGGGTCCAGGCAAAACACTTGCCCTCGGAAGAATCGGGTCCACGTCCCCCAGGTCCCATTCGAATCCAAAACTTCGGAAAGCATTACCAGATAATCGAGCACGAATAACAAAGGGCCGTGATATCTATGCCCAGCCGGATGTCACGACGTAAATCTCGGCACATATCGGCAGAAAATCAGTGATTAGTAAAATGGAAGATTTTTACCTTTTATGAAATTGTACTTAGGGTAAAACTCCCCTACTATATAAATGGGAGTCTAATTATTCGTTAAAATCATGGTAACACATATATCAAGGCAATATGCTCTTATTTTCTCTCTTATTCAAAGTTCTTACTTTTGTTCATCATTCTTCATTATTGTGAGATCGGGATCAAAGGCAGGCATTTCATTAAATCTGTTACTGAGTCTGGAATCACTCCCCTTAATAGGTTTGACAATTTATTACGTCCTTTATCTGTTTAATTTAATGCAATTTATCATTTGTATTGAATTAATCCATGTATCCTTTAAACCACATATAAGTTTAATTGTTATCCATTTTTAGGGTAAACAGTTTGGCGCCCACCATAGGGCTGAGGATAATAGTGGCAATTCGATACAAATTTTCATAACACACTCTATTTTACGCTTGTTATTTGAGCTTTTAATTTCAGGTCAGATTAAAAATGTCAAACTCCCAATCTGCCCCTTTGAATGTCGATGCTGAGTCTGGCCACTATGGCGAGAACAACAGTGTGGTGCCCAGTAATAAGGTGCCCTTTGTTGATCCCAACGGAGTTCCGGTCGCGGACCCGATCGATGCTTACTCACATATGGCTATCGATGCACACTTGCCTACCGACCCTGAGAACAACATTCGTGGGGGAGCCCGATCGGTAGCCCGGAGTACACACGACGGCGAAGGTGATGGGATCAACTTGCGAGTAATCTTCGAAATATTGCAGGCTCAACAAGCAGCGATAGCCCAGTTGCAGAACCAAAGCCGCACCCCCAGCAAAGTTGAGCCCAAACCATCCCGGGAAAACACTCGTAGAAATGAACCAATCACAGAAAGGCCGAGTGAAGCTAAACCCGGTACCAACTTCGAGATCATAAAGTTGCTCGAGGAACTAACAAAACGGGTGGAATCGGGAAAAAAGAAAATCGAAGCCAATGAAAAAAAAGTGGAAACCTACAACTCCAGGGTTGATCAAATCCCAGGAGCACCACCGATACTGAAGGGCCTGGATTCCAAAAAAATTGTTCAAAACCCTTTCCCTTCGAGCGCAGCTACGAAGCCGATCCGAAAGAAGTTCCACATACCCGAAATTTTGAAGTATAACAGAACAACTGATCCAAATGAGCATGTGACCTCCTACACGTGCTCCATCAAGCGAAACGACTTAGAAGATGACGAAATCGAATCCGTTCTGCTGAACATGTTCGGAGAAACCTTGTCAAAGGGAGCTATGATATTATATCACAATTTACCCCTAGTTCTATTGACTCGTTTCCCATGCTTGCAGATTTCTTTGTAAAAGCGCACGCCGGTGCCATCAAGGTCGAGACCAGAAAGTCAAACCTTTTCAAAGTGAAGCAAAGAGATAACGAGATGCTCAAGGAATTCGTGTCGAGGTTTCAAATGGAATGGATGGATCTGCCTCCGGTCGCGGACGATTGGGTCGTTCAGGCATTCACCCAAGGACTCAACCCCCAAAGTTCATTGGCTTCATAGCAATTGAAACAAAATTTGATAGAGTACCCGTCGGTAACTTGGGCCGACATCCATAACAGGTACCAATCAAAAATTAAGGTCGAAGATGATCAGCTCAAGGCCCCTTCTGGATCAGTTTATCGCGTCAGAACCAGTGACAGATCCAAAATATCGGTCGATCATGAAATGAGATAAAATAGGGATTAGTATCAACCATACAACGGAGATCGAAGAGGAAGTCGGTATGGATGAAACCCTGTGAGGAGTGATAGAAGAAGCGATCGAGACCATAATAACCAGGGACTCATGAGCAAAAACGGTTTCGATAGACCCACCGGGTCTAAGGAGGCACCAAGGTTATCAAAGTACAACTTCAGCATCAATGCTGCCATCATTGTATCAACCATCGGACGCATCAAAGATACTAAATGGCCTCGACCATTGCAGTCTGATCCTGCCTATAGGGACCCCAACCTAATATGTAAGTATCATGGAACTCACGGCCATAGAACCGAAGACTGCTACCAGCTGAGAGAAGAAGTAGCCCGGTTATTCAAAAACGGACACCTCTGAGAATTTCTGAGTGATCGAGCCAAAAATCACTTCAGGAATAGGGACTCCAACAACCAGATCGAGCAAGAGGAACCTCAGCATGTCATTAACATGATCATTGGCAGATTTGACGTCCCCCAAGAACCAATGTTAAAGCGCACTAAGGTGTCCATTACAAGGGAAAAACGGACTCGAGATTATGTACCGGAGGGAATCGTATCTTTCAACGACGAGGACGCTGAAGGCATCGTGCAATAACATAATGATGCACTGGTAATATTTGTACTCATAAATAAATCTCGAGTTAAGCGTGTGTTAATTAATCCAGGTAGCTCGACCAATATTATCAGATCGAGGGTCGTGGAACAATTGGGTATGCAAGACCAAATAGTGCTCTTAGTCCGAGTTTTTAACGGATTTAACATGGAATGCGAGACAACTAAAGGGGAGATAACCCTACCGGTAAGCACCGCCGGAGTCGTTCAGGAAATAAAATTCTACGTGATCGAAGGACTCGAGTTCGGTTACCAAGGAAGAAACCAAATAGCAATCACCGACACCGTCCTCGACCAAACTAAAGAAGCAGGAGATGGGCGAGGATGATGATTACAGAGTCCCTAGTTCATTCATAGCCCCTGACGATTTCGATGCCACTAAGTCAACGGTCGAGGAGCTGGAACGAGTCATACTGATCGAGCACTTGCCCGACCGAAAGGCATACCTAGGCACAGGACTAACTTCCGATCTTAGGAAGAAACTCATTGAATTCCTTATAGCTAACATAGATTGTTTTGCTTGGTCCCACCTTTTTATGACAGGGATCCCGTCGGAAATAACTACTCACAAGCTAAGATTGGATCCGAATTTCCACCTGGTTAAATAGAAGATGAGGCCCAGTCCAAAGTCAAGAATGTGTTCATCAAAGACGAGGTATGTAAACTCCTTAAAATAGGTTCCATTCGGGAAGTAAAGTACCCGGATTAGTTAGTAAATATAGTAGTAGTCCCTAAAAAGGGAAATAAATTAAGAATGTGCATAGACTACAAATACTAGAACAAGACATGCCCTAAGGACTCTTTTTCTCTGCCCAACATCGATCTCATGATCAATGCGACGGTCGGCCACGCGGTACTCAGCTTTCTCGATGCCTATTCCGGGTACAACCAAATTCGGATGGACCCGGGTGATCAGGAAAAAACTTCATTCATCACCAAATACGACACCTATTGTTATAACATAATGTCGTTCAAATTAAAGAACACCGGTGCCACTTACCAACGCCTAGTAAACCAGATGTTCGAAGAGCAAATAGGAAAATTAATGAAGGTTTACATTGACGATATATTAGTTAAGTCGTGCGAGCAGAGGACCATTTGGAACATTTGCAGGAAACCTTCAACATACTAAAGAAGTATAACATGAAATTAACCCGGAGAAGTGCACATTCAGGGTCGGGTCCGGGAAGTTCCTTGGATTCATGGTGTCCAACCGAGGGATCGAGATCAATCCCGACAAGATCAAGGCCATAGAAGACATCACCGTGGTCGATAATGTCAAGGTCGTTCAAAGGCTAACCGGGCGCATAGCTGCCCTTGGTCGGTTCATTACAAGGTCCTCCGATAAGAGCCATCGATTCTTCTCGTTATTGAAGAAGAAGAATAACTTCTCGTTAACCCCGGAGTGCC